CTATATATATCTAAAATTCATTTGGTTCCAACTAAGTAAAAGAAAATTATTTTTCCAATTGAATACATAGTCCTAACCAAACTACACCATTAATTCTCTTTTTTTTTTTTTTCCTACAAGTGAGGGAATACAACATAGTTGAAGCCTGAAGGATTCAACTGAACCAAACTACACCATGTTGTTGTTGTTTTTTAAGTTTGATTCATTACATTGAATTTTACTCGGATATATAATAGTTGTACCATATGGCATGCATTGTATTCGAGGAAGTCCACGTGGATATAAAAATGCCACGTGGGGATGACAAGAAACGTAGTCGTTGGTCGTTGTGTCGTGTATGTATGTGCGTTTCCTTTTTCTCGTGCTTGCAAATATTAGAATTGTGACGTATCCTTAAGTTCCATAGACAAAGGAACTTTCATTAGGTCCTCTCTTTAAGGTGAACCATTCATTACTCATGCCCCCTCTTCCTTCCTCTTTTTTGTTGTAATTTTCTCCTTTTTATGTATTTTCTATTTCACTTATCGCTAATAGGCATATTTCCACCGGTTTGGAATGGTCACTTTAGACCGATTATGGCGGGGCTGGTTTATAGAACCCGGTTTCGAAGAATTACATGCTTGCATTTGCATAGTTACGTTACATATGATGGGTATATGGGCCTACTCCGTTACTTTCGTCATTAAAAAAAAAACACAGAGAAGTGTTAATTAAGCCGATGATTAAGCAAGCATAAAAGTTTGATTAAAGTGTATATATATCGATCTAATATAAAAACCACTTAATTAATTTTGAGAGCGAGAGTGACAAAAGTAGTTCTACAAACGCCTCAATATGCGTCACGATAATCTCTCATGCACTGAACATGATTTACGAGGATATAGTTTATTTTTAAACCCCATATATGTACCCGATTAGATCTATATATGTCCTTATGTCGAACAAAAGATATATGGTTTTCCAGGTTATATAATTTTTTTTTCACCGGTTATAGTATTTCTAGTGTACTTTCCTAATCATGTTCTTGTCCTCTTTGAATATGTCCCTCTAACTTGCCTATGTTCATGCTATCGCTAAAACAATTTTGGCTATAGTGAGCCGACCAGCGAATAATGCGTTCGTAAGGCTGAATTTTACCAAAAAATACGATGATATATCCATTTGAATTCTGTTTCAGATAATCTGTTCGTCATTTGTTTTCATTAACAAAATCAAAATCTCACGTATATTAGAGAGAAACCCGAACCCACAAAATCATAACCAACAGTTTGATCGAATCACCATTTGACAAGTGTTTTTGTCTGCTACACTAACAACATCTTTAGCGGACATTGTCTCATCATTCCACCGTCGCTTTATTTTATTTGTATATGATTTT